ATGTAGCTGCCATCACCTGTGTGTGGATGTGTGGATGACTGGATGTGTAAAGCGCTTTAGTAAAACAGACCATTTACCATTTTTAAACCATCAGCAAGCAAAATGTGCTCTGTCCCGTCCATGGAAACGTCTCCCTGAGTGAACTTCATCACAGACGCTCCTGCTGCACACAAACACAGCTTCTCCACACTCTGCATTCATCAATTATAAATCAGAGAAAACAGTTGTCCATATTTCAGAGATCTGATGGCCACTGTACTGTCACACAGAGGATACCGCGGTGAGTGACACAAACAACATGTTGGCTGTATGAGCTGGAGTCTCCAGCCCGACACCTTTTTTTAAACTGGAGGTCTGATCACACTCAAGTCTAACCAGTGCCTTTGTCTAATTATAAACCAAGTTGTGCCATTTAGCATGGGTTTGAATAACACTCTGGCTGTAAGATACATGTAGGCAGTCACACAGCATGTTTTCTTAAAGCTGATAAAGTTCTCACAGTGTGTGAACTGGGACTGATATCTGGAGGTGTGCACGGATCTGTTCATTGTAACAAACTCATAGCCTTAGAGCACGTTGGCATGTTTAACTAATGACATCTGACGTTTAATCAGTGACACACATGTTAATGTGTGCTAAACGCAGCTTTCTGTGTGGTGGCCTTGAAGCCGCGTCCGAAAAAACAGCGATTCAAAACCTTTCCATGGTGGAGACGTTCTGTGTTTCTGTGGACGAAGAAAACGGACGTTTTTGTGGTCGGCTTCTGATTGGACAGCATTTCTATGAGGGCTATTTCAGCAACTGGTACTCAGGCCTGCTCTTTACATATCTGATGTTTTCACGTGAATAGTGTTTTCAGTCCCCGTTTAAACGGTACCCATGTAGAGAGTGAAGCCACCGTAGTGATTGTTACGACCACGGCTCGTAATCACAACCATCGCAGCCGTCCTGTTAGACGACTCGTAGATTTGGGAACATTCACCGAGGACCTGAAAGCAAAGAAGGGACAAAACTTACTCTTACCTCAGTGTGTGTGTATGTGATGTACTGTTTCATTATAAATTTGTGACAATGAGAAGGATGGATGGTGAAATTCTCCGACCTCTTCATACTGTTAAACTTTTCTTAGGCATATAATTTTAAATATTATCTGATGTGATGTGCGTCTCTGTACAATGATCTAAAAAGCCATAAGTAAGCTTGCACACTCATCTGAAAAGGGCTGATAGTTCTCTAATGCTTACCCACCATCACCTCGTCTAGCTGATTATTTGTAAATCGCTCCGTTTCTCACGCTGACCGATTCTTCATGTTTGTTTGTCACAGTAACTGGAGTGTTAGTGGCGTGTTAGTGGCGTGGCGCTCACTGTCATTTCTCTAGCTCACTGCATCTAGAATGAGAACCCAAGAAATGTTATCCCAGTAAATATCGGACCTGTGCAGCACCCATGTGCATGCGTGCACAGTTAGTTAATCGCTGCCTTTATCGTATGAAGTTTATATAGGCTACAAGCACGCAGTCAAATGTTAGACGGACAAGCAGACGAGTCCTCAGTGTATCCACGTGTCCATCAGCCGCTGTACACGTCGCAGGAAGAAGTAAACTCCCTGTGGCGCTGGCGGGTAATCGGCAGCTGCTCCAACGTTTCGAGACTGCTCTCTGGCATGTCGTCCTTCAGTTATTATTGAATGCTCTAAAGTGTAAAAAGGTGAGTAACCCAGATGATACCGAATGCATACATGTTCCCCTGCGAGGGAAGAACGTGCAGAATGTTGTCGAGTGTAGGTGTGCGCTCCATCTTCACGCCATGTCTCCTCCACTCCCAAGTGTTTCTTCTTTCAGGCCTTGTCACAGTTTATTCTCACTTCTTCCCAGGTTTCAGTCCAAACTTTAAAGAGATAAACTTTAGAGGTTTTAGAGCAGGAGAGCTTTGTGAATGCGGGCCCAGGTAGATGATGAACTGCCCGGATTGTTACTAAGCAGTTTTAACCGTGTGCGTAGTTTCTGTTCAGATGTTGTAGCTCTCGTATGTTGCCTTTCTCTTTCAAGCTTCAAGAACAAATTGGGTGTTTAAAATGTGTGGAAAGCATTCAGGCCGTCACAGGTCGCTCTTCTTGACTCGTTTGCTTTGGGTCACTGTTTCGTTGCAGCCTCTCTTCAGTTTGGACCACTGTTGCTTTATTGAAACGTCCGACTCCAGGTAGCTTTTGGGAAGTCTTCATTTTCTTTATGGGGCAACAGTGTGAGGTACGACTCGGTATGTTCAACTCGCACTGAGTCGTACCTTAGTTTGTGTTAGATTGTTATATAATTCTGCAGAAATACCGGCCACACCGAGCTGTTCTTGAAACGGTTTGAACCTCAGCCGAGTCCACGTTAGTTGGATCAGTCACGTGAGTCAGTGTGGTTGAGCCTGATCACTGATGCAACAGTCTCTCCAACGTCCTGA